TTAAAAAAAAAAAAAAAAAAAGGAAAAAGCCACATTTGCATTCCTATGAATGGCAATTTATTTTTACGGAAGGAAAGAAAAAAATCACGAATTGTATCGAGGCGGTTTTCAATTCGCGTCGTCTTTGTCTCGGGTTACTTGTCTATTATTTCGTACGTGCAAAAAAACGAAGTACGCACGGGAGAACGTGCAAACGTCACGCGGCAATCATTTCATAACGAGAACGCGCACGCTGCACGCGCAGTTCATCATCCCCCAGCTCGATATTATCCGGTAATATAGTTCTCGTTGCCGGGACTGACACGCGGCGCCGCTCTCTCGCGTCTCACAATCGGACGATCTCGCAGCAGCAATTCCCGCTCGGAAGCGCGTAAGATGAGTTTCAGCGAAAACAGGATAGGGGAAAAAAAAAAAAAGAAAACGGACGGGAGATGCGAAGGCGTCTACCTGATAGAAACCGGGCGGAAGTCGCGTAGCGAGTAAGGCTCGCGTGTCGTTTGCAAATTGCACCCGCTCGGAGGAACGTCTTCGTCGGCACGCCTTTGTTTTGCCCTTCGGGAACCGTGAGTCAGAGGCGGAAAAAGAAAAGAATACGCGCGTCCGTGTGTGAAAGCGAGTGATGTATGTATGCGATGTACGGCGCGGCGGGAAAGAGGAGAAAAAGTCGCGAGAAAAAGGAAAAAGGAACCGAGTAAAATCGAGAGAGAGAAGGGCTCGTCGGCATTTTTATTAAAAAATTAACACCCGCCGCTGTCGATACCAGAATTCGGCGTATACATTCGAGCGAATCGTGGCCCGTGTCACCTGACGCGAGGAGACGCCTAAAGGTCAAATACCTTCGACTTCCGGCTCGCGCGACTTGGATCACGGCGATACGCCAAATGATTCCGCTCGAAAATAAATGATGTCGTGACGAGCCGCTGGTATTCTTAGGCATCATTAGCTAGTATTCTTGAGTATCTATCTATTGTAAAATTGATTCTAAATGATGATACCAGATAATCACACACACACACACACACAGCCCTGATGATGTAATGATAGAAAATTTGTAAAGGATACTTGTAACTGTGCATATATGTTTACGGCGCAATTAGCTTTGCCCTAAAGCTAGCGCAATCTTTCGCAGAATATCTCGTACGTATACAATTCAACACGCATTTCTGTAAT